GAGATAGGTGGGAGAGTCTGTACAGTCTCAGCTTGCTGTAAATCGAAACGCTTGATTAGAGAAGGAAATATATAGACATACAAAGAAACACATACACAAGTAAAAAAGAACTATACCTCAGGGATCGGTGTTGAAGGCTGAAGCTGAGTTTCGACAGTTGTCGATATAGTCGCCGATGGATTATCCTAAAAAATTCATCGAAAATGTGAGTCATGATACAAGTCTTATCAAAATCTAAGACATGGAGGTTATATAAAAAAGGAAACTCACGTGACTAGAATGGGTGACGGGTGTTGTTTGACCCGTGGAAGGAACGGTGTTCGAATCCATTGATAATGGATCTGCTGTGGATGGTTGGACTGGTCGTGGACTCTTCGATTTTTTCTGTAGGGTAGAAATCGAAAAGAGATATGAGAATCCATAAGGAAACATGTTATAAACAGAAAAATGAATGAGACAAAAAGAGATCAAAAAGTACCTTCGATTTTTTCGAAGACGAAGTGGTGGTGATGGCCGATTGTTTTCGCTTCCTAGTAAAGGCCGGAGGATCCGACTCATCCGGGGACTCCCGGCTTGCTTCTTTTTCTTCTCTTGCGCCTTCTCGAAGGCGACCACCTTAGTAGATTTTGAAGCTGTCGAGGAATGAAGATAGTCGGTTTCCAAAACACGGAATTGAAAATTAAGAAAAAACAATAAAACCTCACCAAAAGGTGATGGAGTCAAAATTTTGACTCGATCGATATGTACTAGCCAAGGAGGCAGGAGAGCTTCAGGGAGGTTAAGGTAAGGGAAATAAAATAGTCTCGATACAGTAATGTCTTTGTTTTTGGGTTTAGGACGTAATGTTTCTTTCGAAGTTCTCAGTTCTCGAACCCATTTAGGGTGTGTTAAAGGTTTGGCAACTCCAAAGGGAGCATTAGGAAAAGTAGGAAGGCGATTGGGACAGTACATTTCAAAAAGGGTCTTTCCTAAGGGATTGATTATTTTGTGATCTGTTCGATTAGTGGTGGTCTTGTGAGAAAGGGAAATGACAGCGTCATAAAAGGTAGATTCTAATCTCAGTGGGTTGTAACATATTTGATAAAAATGTTTGAATCGAGTTATTTGGAGATAGTGAGAGTGTTTACCTTTCTTCGCCTTCGATTTGTCCTGCAACACAAGAGAATGACGAGCAGTCAGTTTCTGTCGAACCTCGTCAAAAACAGCACGATTACTTGAAAACCAATTGGTCCACCATTGAGAAAATTCCACAGTCGATAAGTAATTCGATTCAAATACATATGGGTAAAGATGCATCAAGGTTCTTGGCAAAAATTTGGCAAGCTCTCGACCGATGTTCGATTCAGTCAATTTGGATTTGGGGAAGGTATTTAAAGGGAAAAAGGGTAAAGACTGGCTCAGGCCAAACTGTCTTGAAAAAAGTTGAGGGTAGTAAGTAGTAAACTTGAAATCCTTGGGGTGAAAGCCCGATACTAGTATATCCTGGGTTAAGTAGTTACTCCATATATCGACCAATTCTAATTGCAACCCAGGAGTTGAAGCAGGAAACTTTGACTTAAACCAAATAGGCCCCCTAAGTTGGCCACTTGTTCGTCCAAGATTTACAGTAAAAGGGGCCAAGGTTGAATCGAAATCAAATCTAGTTAGCAAAAAGTGAAGGTATTTACAATAGGTAGTTTCGTCAGACTTATGGCGAGGATGGCGAGAGGATAATCGGGCCCCTTCTATATTTACACTCGGGGGAACAGTAGAAAATCGAGGAAGGACGCTCTCAAAAATTGAAGTTAACCATAACTTTATAAACCAAACGGGGCCAAAAAAATTCCCCGATGCTTTAGGAGTACTCAAAATTTCGACAGCCTCGTCAAAAGTAGTATATACATGCGCTAACAAAAATTTGGCCAAACATAGGCTAGGTTGACCTAAGTGAAGGAGATACGCAAGGTTGAATAGATGGGGGGAAATTTGAATCGATCGGGGGCAAAATACATGGGTGCACAACCAATACACCAAAAATGCTACATGTTCTTCATCAGTAACAGCTATCGAGGGGTCATCAACAAAATGTTTCTCAATAAAATGCCCGTAGGCCTTCGATTCCCAATCAATTTTGGACTTCAGCGAATTATCCGAGGGATATGCACCCTGAAAGTATCTCTCCCCTATAGGTTTTAACCCAGTGATGGCTGCGACATCGAAAAGAGTAGGTGAGAGAGGGCCGCAAGGTAATTCCAACGCATGTATTTCCTTATTCCACAAATGCACGGCAGCCAAAAACATAGTCATGTCTAAGTAGGACAAGTCACATTGAGACAAGTGTAAAAAATCGAAAATCCCCACGTTCCTCCAATGGTTCCCGAATTTAGCCTTGACCCTATCAAACCATCTAGTGAACAAAGGTTTTTTGGAGGGAGGGCCTGTCCGATACACCTTAGAAGCAAGGTTCAGAAAGTCGATCCTAACTTCAGGCTGATGTACAAGAGCAGGGCTGTTTGAGAGGGTGAGGGGAGAAATAGTTCCACTACCAGAAAGAATGGGGCCCCCAAAAGCAAAACCAACCCCCTCAACAGTATAAGGAACTAATACCTGCGTTTCAGCAATCTTTTTGGAAGCTTCCTCCATCAGAGGCAGGGGAGCAAACTGCTGGTTGTTAATCTCCAGCAAGGTAGCAGCGGATGAGGTAAGTGGGGGAGTCGAGAAATCAGATGACTTGGATGAAGTGGCCATTGTAGTGAGCTTAGGAAAACAGAAAGGGAAGAGTTAACGGATGAGGTAACAGGGACGAAGGCAAGAGCTCAAAGGAGAAGATGAGATTGCAAAGAGGGTGATAGTTCGCGTAAAGACCAGAGTAAAGACCAAGGAAAGGTTAAAGGGAAATCGTCTAGGGAGTTGGAAGCGACGGAAGGGAAAGGTAATTAATGTAACTTGTACTAAAAGGCAACAGACTGACGAGACGGCGACGTAAAGTGGAAAAGAAACCTAAAACCCCTTTTAACCCTAGAACCCCAGAAACCCTAAACCCTAAATCCTGTGGACCTTCCAAACATTAAGACGGGAATATTGAAAGAATATAAACTAAAATCATTCATATTCTTTCAAGGGGGCATTTTGTTAGTGGCAAATCGAGAAAAACGATCGAAATCGAAGGAAAGAAATGTGACTCGATAAGATAAACAAAAATTCATTCGATGTCTAATTAGAAATACGTAGCATATAGCATCGAGAAGCACAATCGAGAATCGAATGAATAATAATCAAATGACTGTTGTCGAATAAAAACTAAGTCATATAAGACCAGGGTTAAAAAGGAATCGTAAGCAATTCGAAGTTCTCGAAAAATACAGAATCGAGAGTAAAGAAAGTCAATGTGGACATCGAGACTTTGGCCAAATCGTGAAAGGAAGTAAGTCGAATGCACGTATAAAGAGCAGTTTTGAAATCATGGGAAAAAGTCAGAGATCGTGAGAACGTGGGAAACTATAGAAGATAAACTGCCATACGCACGTAGAACGTGGTAGCAGTCGTGTTAACTGCTCTTGGAAGGCTTGAAGGATGCCCTATAAATAGAGCAAAGGAGGAAGGAACAGGGGGCGAAAATTGGCAGAGAACAGAATCAGTAGTGAAAAGTCTACCGGAGAAACGACGAACACCATGAAGCTTCTGGCAATCTGGATTTCCTTGCTCACTGAGTACATTTACCGCTTTCTGTATTTTCCTTGGTAATTTACTTTGATGCAATTTAAATTCAGTAATCTTATGTTTCGTACTCTCGATTCTTAGTCATTTCAATTCAATGAAAGTTTAAGTTTACGCATTTTCGATTTCCTGTCATTTACTTTTCTTGCAATTTCGATTTATTGCCATTTACATTTCTTGCACATTTCGATTTCCTGCCATTTATATTTGCACTATTTTCGATTCCTCGTCATTTACAATTAATGCAATTTTGGGGTTTTTGCACTTTACATTTTCTTGCAATTAAATGTTCTGTTTCTCGATTCGATACTTTACTGTTTTCGATACTTTAAATACAAAATACCAAAAACAGCATTTTCGATATCCTGTAATTTTCGATTCTCATACACGTTTTCGATTGAAAGTCAGACTGCTAGCCTAAGTAAAAAGAACTTACGTGGGAGGATTTCGATTAGGACCATAATATTGTTTAGAATCGAAATCGATCAAAATTCCACCAGAAACAGTATCTCATAGAAGATTTGACCTATCAATTTCTGATTTTAAATTGAAATTTAATCAATTTTTTGTTCGAGCTTAAATATCCCTCCTCAAAATAAAACAGATATATGCGTGTATGTATCTTTCGACGATAAAGGAGAGTGAGTTAATGATGCTATACAAATTTGACATAATTTGTTTAGAATAATAAAAATAGATTTTTGTTTTCCTTTACATTTTTTTTAATGTTAACTTTTTTTATAAAGCTTATTAATTTTATTTTCTAAATTTATATGATCAAATGACTTATTTATTACACATATACCTCTCCATTCTTGTTTAATTCCTTTATAATGAAATTTTGTGCAAATAGTTCAAACCTTGTAGTTGAATAATTGATTAAGCACTTCCGTCGCGTCCCATTGGATGCACAACCCACCACTCACTGCACCGCCACCACGGATTCATCCAATCCAACATCTAAAGCAAATTAAAACCAAACGCGTCTCTTCTAGTTGACTTCAAACCCTAATTAATCATGTACCATCTGAAATCACTTTCGCTTTAATTTTGTGGCAGGAAGAACTTTCGAGTACTAGTATTTTATTAAGGATAATGACAAGTCACATAAACATCCAAGTTACACATTCCTACAAGATCCCAGGATTCAACATTGCCTCGTAAAATAAAATTAAACAATCGCATCGTGAACCATCAAAACTTATAATATAAGCAGAAACCCAGTATACTATACACACATGCTAATTGCTACGTTATCCTCACATGAAATAACAATAACAATAATCATCATCACTGTCGTCATCTTACGCACACGAAATACCGATAGCGGTGGTGAGCATAAACCTCTCCGACGCTGACTTTCTCACAAACGAATTGATCTCCGGCGAAAGCAGGCCCACCTCAAATTCCGGAAGTTCGGGAATTGTGGAGAGAACGGGTTCGGATTTATCGTAAACAACGTAGACACGGTCTTTACTGGAATATTTTTCTGCAACTTGGAAAGTAGTCTTATTACCAGGGATGGTAGAACTAGAACTAGAACAAGAACAAGAACTAGAGCTAGAACAAGAACTAGAAGTCCTTAATTTGTTGCTGGACTTGAAAACAAATCGAAGGAGTTTATGGAAGGTTCGAGAGATCTTGAAAGGCTTGTTGTTGGACATGCTGGGTGGTTGTGGTCGTGGTTGTGGATGAACTTGAAACGAGAGACAACGTTCGGGTAAATGAGACATGGAAAGGGTTCTTCTGTTTTTCGGGGAATTCGCTATTGCCGTGTCCAATTGGCGTTTCAAGGAGTTGAGCTCGAAGGAATCGTATAGGGTGCTGCCACAATCCCAAACGTTTCCCTTGGAAACTTGGTTAAGCTTTTCTTCTCTTGATTTCTTCTCCATGTGCTAGAAATGGTTCTTGTTTTCTTGATCTTGGTGAGTGTTGGATAGGACTATGTATATAGAAGGTTTGAAAGGGGATGGTACGAGATAGATAGAAGGGTTGGAGAGAGTGACGTTTGACCACTTTTATGTGATGTTTGGTGAAGGATGAAACGCGTTAGTTATGACTTTGTGACTTGGAAGTGAGGGTTTACAAAAACAATAATAAGGGTTTCACGTCCCAAGGATATTGACCACCGTTGCCATTAAATCCGTGAGGATAGTTTTTATTTTTTCAATTTCGGTGCCAGCGTTGCTACATGCTTCCTCTGCATTGGACAAAACAATTAAATGAATTAATTAAAAACAACTAAAAATCAATGCATAGTACACATAATGGTAAGAAGTGGCAAAGATGGGATGGAACATGGAACGTGGAATAAAAGTGGCCCCTTGAAATCTTGAATCATGTGTGTGTCATATCACATTCACACGTACATTATACTTGTCTGTATGCGATTGTACACAACCATGGAATTAGTTAATGGAATGAATTTACTTAATTAATTAATCGACAAGTTAATTAACTTCATAATCATGTGGGTGCATGCGGTGGCATTGCTTATACTAAATGAAAAATCAATGAAAGTAAAGTATTCGCGTTTTCATATTGTTGGGGTGCTTCTCCACGAAGACAGGAATTATGATGATCCCACCCATTTGTTTAATTAGTAAATCCAAATCGTGAGATTTAAAAAACATTGATAAGTCTTTCCACTTTTTGGCGAGAGATTAGTTTTGTGGAGTTGAAAGGTGAAATGCACAAGTTAAGAAGGTGGAATACGCAATAACCTAAAGACATACGTGGAAAGACGCAAAACGCAGTTATCAGTTTTCAGGTGTAAACAATGTGCATTCACACTTTTGGGACAGAGAGGAGATGATCTACTCGTGATAAATATGGCATGGAAAGTAATAATATTAATCTGAACAAGTGTACGTGAAATAGGACCTTAATCTAATTGGAAGTTTGACTAGGATTAGATAAGTTCAGATGGAAGTGCAGTTGCTAACTTTTAATGAAAAAATAAATAGGTCATTTTCATGCCATAATATATATAATATACGACAAAACAACACGCACGACAAAAATTAATAAACTATTGGATATGTTATATTAGTTGAAGGTTTCCACCACTTTAATTTATTTATTTTAAATATTCGGTGTACATGTAAGAAGATATTTCACTAGTTCCTCCTATATTTGACCATTTCACTTGTTTCTTTTCACACCTTTTGTTAGCGGGAGTGGGTTCTCTATTATCTGTCTTTTAGAATATTTGTTTGGTATTTTCACTTATAATATATATATAAAGAGAGTATATACGAACGTCCACGAACTCCGTGTAGGTACTGCTTGTAATGGAATTTACAAGATCTCATAAGACTAATGTATGTTAATAGCATCACTACATCACCCTCGTTACTAACCATTGACATTTGCCCAAAAAAAATCTCTACATCACACATGTGCTGTCAGCTGGTTCACAAATGGAGATAACTTTTGGTCATGATTTATGTATGCATTTGGTCAATCCACTACATCACTGCTGAATAGCTTAAATTGGTTGGCATCAAGAACCAATTTCCTTATGGAAGAAAATGCACCCATGATTCCAGCACCCGTGAACACCACAATAATTGAGAGGTTGATCCAGTAAGTTAAGGATGATTTTGGAGGCTTGTATGTCATGTTGTATAGAAGCATTGGCAGAATGAAATCCAAAGGGATGAAACCAATAGCACCAACCACACCGTTTATGTCTCCAAAAAATGGCAACATGGCTGCCAAAACCCCACAGAATATCATGTAAATTGTTCGAAGAATTATGCGAGGAATGAGATTTCTTTTGGAAAACATCCCCTGCCTCACATCTGCTGATTTCTTCTCCATTATCTCATAAGCAACTTGAGAGTAAACCTGCATAATGTTGGGACAAACATTAAACCTTTGCTCATGACAGTTTTGTTCATGGAATTTGATTATAACACACTAGAAGGATAAGTTTATCAACTTTTGTAATAACTATGAAATAATTTCTCTGTATTTAAAGTGGATTTTAACTAGTTGACATTGGATAGTGCTTCAAAAATAAACTCTTTGTAGCCCCTAAAAAATCCCTCTCAAAAAGGAACAAAATCAAGCAGAGAGAAGTGTGAGAGCTTACCAGGCCAATGGCAAAGAGCTGAAGAAGAACAAAGATGATTGCAAGTCCAAGGAGCCAAGTAGGGGCCAAAGAAGGTCCACTATCTGGTAGCAGACTTTTCAAAATATTTGAGTTTGATTTGTTTCCAAATACCCAATATCCAGAAACTGCAGCAGAGTAGAAAGTCACAAAAATTGCTGCATAACACATAAGAAGGCCTTTTACCATCTTCCCAGTGGCAGGGGGCGCCAGAGTTGCCTGTATTCATAATGACATGGTCAATTTAACATCCAAATAAGTTATTTAAACTTAGAAAGAGGAACATTAGGTACTTGTATCTCAGGTAATATGCCATTCCCAAATATTGCTGCAAGTATGGAGAGGGACGTGAAGGCACTGAAAGCCCTTGCAGACTTCTTAGGTTCTAAAGAATAGTCCCTTGGAGGGGCATTTGCTGATGTACCTGCAACATGGTTGGTGTTTGTTAAATCATTGCAACATTTCATATATTTAATAGAATTCAAGGTACCAAATTATGTCATTCAAGCTATATATATGAACATAAAATTGTTGACTTCATTACCCTTGAGTTTGTGAGAAGTTAAACATTCAGCGTTAGGAAAGGACCACAGTGTTTTAGTTAAAAACTCTATTGTCTAGTTAGGAAAGGACCATGATGTTAAAACTTGTAAATTGTCTGAAAGTAACTCCAATTCACAGGGTCTGTACAATTACATGTATAATGTGTACCAAAAAGACATTGAGTTAAACAAGATACTTTACATACTGAGACCAGATGAGAATTTATTGTATGCTTAACTGAAATACTTACTAAAAGGAAACTAAAAGAGCTCCAATTATGAATGGAAATGTTTGCACTTGGAAGTAAAAATGTTATTAAGGGATAAAATACCTGCATGAATACAGGCAACAACCACGAGGATGGTGTAGCCAAGGGCGAAAAGTAGTGAACACAAGTTGATGTGTCGCAGGGAGTGGAAGGAAGGAAGCTGAGATAGAACTATCATTACTGCTGTCACCATTGCTATAAAGTGGTACAATTTGAGGGATCCATGAACAGAAATATTGGAGTACATGATCTTCCATGACAAAAGAAAAAAACAATTAATTAACTTTTCTAGTTAAGAATTACAAAAATGAAATACTTCTAAACTTCACAGATATTTAATACTCCAAATAACGCCACATGCAGCAAAAGTAAAAGATCATGAACAAAAAGATTAGTCTAGAATTATTGGTCCAGGCCAAAATGCATATCATTATCACGCGTGTGCAAAGTTGCCTTTATGAACCAAAATTTCAATGTTTCAATGAGCAGAATGCGTGACTCAACAAATCACAATTACATTCCTGTTCCATTACCAACCCCCTAGCATAGCTTGTGTCTAAAACAGTCCAATTATTTGGTATTATTGAAACTCTTATTTTCTTTCTCCCTCTCTCTCTTTCTTTCTTCAATGAAACTCTATCATTTTGACATTGACTACCCTCTTAGCCATTTTCGGTTTGTCAGTATTCACTATAACTCATCATTTCGGGTCACTCCACTCCACCATGGTTACGTTGCGTAGAGTTGAAGTTCTGCGTGGAAATTTCCATGACTAATCATTCTCTAAGGTACATCTTTTTTTTTTTAATTGGAAGTGTGGATCAGCTCAACAAATTATGTTAAAGTTAACAAAGATTCCAAAACATCCAAAATAGTTCACCCTTACAACGTTTTCAGTGGTAACATCTAATCAATAAGTGAAAACTCTAGAAAGGTTAAAAAAAAGAAAAAAGAAAAAAAGAACAATCAGATGGGAGTAAACGAAATTCACATTTACTATATAATTATAATCAGTTGCTTTCATTTCATTGCTGTCCTTATAATCAGAAAATTAACCTCAAATGATTTTAGTTAAAAAGACAAAGAAATTTATAAATAATGCATAATAAGTAATAAATTAGTAGACACTAATAATAATAATAATAATAATAATAATAATAATAATAATAAATATATAATAATAACCTCAAGGCATTCACCCGCAAGCAAGATTGCTCCAATGCCAACGCCAGTGTTGATTGCCGTCTGAATAAAGATTACAAAATAAAACATCCACCCTGAACCTGTTGCAAAATGTTTTTTATTTTTTATTTTTATAATCTTACAAAAATTAATACCAAAATACATCAAATATAAAGCTTGCATGTAACCTAAGAAAATCTTATAGTCTCAGTTTTCATTTTGTGGAAAAAGATTAAAAAAAAGAAGAAGAGAAAGAAATTAAGTTCAGTAATAAAAGAGAGATAGAATTGGAGTAGAATTTCATGTAAAAAATTGTATGAAACTAAATATCTTACCAAACTAACTCCAGGATTGGTGTCCAAATTTGGGCCACATATATTTTGTGAGCACAAATGATCAACGTATGTTACACCAATAAAGCCCGAAATTTTTCCCTCCAATAACAAAAGGTAGTGGTTTCAAAATATCAAAATTAAAATAAGAAGAATATTCTATTGAATTTGCTTTACACCGACATAGTTAATATCCTCTTCAGTCGCTAGTTATTTAATTTAAATTTGTTTTTTTATCATACCGACTTTTCAAATTGCTAAATTTAAGTTTCTTGGTGATTCACTTAAACTACAAACTATCAAACTAAATCTAGTTAATCATAAGTATTTTAAATTGCGCATTGCCCGTTTCAAATAACATGTAAAATGTATAATTATAATTGCTAATCATGTACAACGAAAAATCATCTATATCATTTAAATATATATTATTTTTTTATAAAATTTAATTAATTTATTTATAAAATATTAAATATATCTAAGTATAAAATTGTCACCATAATAAATTAAAATTAATAATAATGAATGTGGCCAAGACTATGAAATATATTCAACTAAATCAGGTAAGAAGTAAAGAAATTTAAATGAGCCAAAGTGAAAGAGGTAGTAATAGTTTACTTTGGATAAAAAAATCCCCCATGAAATTAAGTAAGAGATAGACAAATTAATTCAAATTAAGGAGGAGATGAAATATATATATATATATATATATATATATATATATATATATATATATATATATATATATATATATATATGAGAGAGAGAGAGAGAGAGAGAGAGAGAGAGAGAGAGAGAGAGAGAGTATATCATCTTTATTTGAAAGAAGACAGTTTAAACAAAATCATGTGACATAGAATGTAAAGAATAAAGCTCCAACAAAAAGGATCATATTTTAAAAACTTTTTTGTAGTTCTAAGAAATAGATAAACAAATTAATTAAGAGATTATACACTTTTTTTTAAATATTTTATCTATAAAACTTTAAAATCCTTCAGACTTTGAACATTTAAAATCAGTTTGCATTTCAAATGGTCTCAACCTCTAACTAATTACAATAAAACACAAGAAGCTTTTACAAATGTGGAGAAGTGAGCTTGAAAAATTGATTGCTAAAGTCAACGAAGAGATTTATTGACGAACAAGAAAAAAGCTCTGTGAGCAAGGAAAAGGACAGACAAACAATAATGACTTTGTTTATTTGACAATATAAAACTGACGAATTATGAAGTAATTAAAACTAAGGTTAGAAAAATTATATATTTTTTTCTATGAGTTTAGATGTATGGAGTCTCATTTTTTCAATTTTTTGAAGAGTATTTAGGATAAGTTTGTGATGAAAAATGAAAAAAAAAAAAAAAACAAAGAAGAAGAAAGGTTTATGTTGACAGTAACCTAGGAAGCATGGTTGCTGCATAGTAATAATCACCTAAAACATCGGCGGCTAGTTCGCGGAAACGAATGTGTCGGCGACCAGATTTTTCACAGTAATCGAGAACTTTGGACATGAGGAAGTAGGAGTAGAAGGTGACCACCCCCATCATCGTGAGGCACGAGAATCCAAGTCCCCACCCTAATCCTCGGAACGCGTATGGCAGAGTCAGAATCGTTGGTCCAACTATCGCCGTTGTTAAGTGGAACCCCGCGTGCCACCATTCACCTGTGAACAACAATCCATGAATTTATGTCGCTACTTTTCTTCAACACAAATAAAAAAACTACTTAATTTCATGACTTCTCTTGTGAAGTGGAGTTAATTACCTTTGGATTGGAGAACGAAAGCAGCTCCGGCGTCTTCATCGCCGTCTCGATGGCTATGGATATCGCCTTTCGGTGGTTCCGCCATGGATGAAGTGGTGGTGAGTTATTAACTAAGGAAGAAGGAGATACGTGTGTGTTATATTTAAGATACTATGATACGGATAGATTAAATATATGTCGGGTGAGTTTGAACTCTATTCAATTTTTTATGAACATTAACTAGTTTTCATTGTTTAAAACAAGAACCATTTTTTTAGATGCGTACGGAACAATGTGCTGTTCACGATTTCTAGCATTTCTTTTATGATTTTTTATTAAAAAAAATATTTTGCATTGGTTAGCATATCTCTTAAATTTTTAAGGAATAAAATATTGGTTAAAAAGAATAAACGGATAATTTTTTTTTTAAAATTAGAAAGAATATCATTAAAAGTCACTGGAAAACAATGTCCTAAATATATATACTTGCATTAAAGATAAAAGAATGTTTTTCTTGTGATGTTTGTGTGTACACACTTCCACTTTCCTCATTGTGTCGTTTTTCAGATCCAAAAACTGAATACACCCGACATCGTGCATCAACCGCATCCATCTCTGTCTCTCCAAATAAACCACATCAAACAAGGTTGGATTTGACAAAAAAATTAGCCTCGCAAAACCTTAAAAAAGTGTCTACATTTGATGCCAAAACACAATCACGCAGTGGTTAATTACATTTATGACTCTCCCATTTTGTTTAATGTTAAAAGATAATAATGTTTGCTATATATATAAATGAGATATGGTTTCTATCTTTCCACCTGGGTGATCGATCATGTAGCAAAGAAGATTTAAAGAGATTGCTGAAATACCGTAGCTTTTTAATTTCTAATGAATGTAAGAATAAAAGAACAAATATTGTTTTTGTTTAAAGGGAAAAAAAAATGCCTTGTCATTTCGTTTTATTCTCCCTCCTTTTCACATATTTTTCATTTATATATACAGCTAAAATCCAGGTCGACCTTCATTTCGTTTTATTCTCCCTCCTTTTCACATATTTCCTTTGAAGAATATAGAAAACACACTTTTCATTTTAATTTTTGTTAAATTTCTGGGAGAAATGTTACTAGTTGTTATATTGAGGGAGTGTGTGTATTAAATTGTAAATTATTGAACTTAAAATGAACCAAACATAATACTGATTGTTCGAAAATTACAACTAATATATAATTGATCCACAATTAAACATTAAAGATAAGCATATTCAACACAATTTGAATATGGATGGATTAGGAGAAATTTTTTTATTCAATTTTCTTTTCTTGACTTGCAGTTGCAGCAACAGATTTGTTGTATTCTTCCATTTCATTTTTGTAGATGTCCATTGCATTAGATGCTTGACCATTCCAAAATTGCCTATCTTCCTCGCTCAATTCCTAATCACAAATGAGAAAAAGAAATTCAATGATTGTTCTAAGAAAAACAAAGTTCATTGTGGAAGAAGTTGTGATACATACCTTCCACCTCAATGAGATCAGTGCATTAATGGTTGAGTTGTTGACTCCTGGTCTTTCCTCATGTAAAGTTTTCCTTGCTTCTTTACTGCAATAAACAACATTTTCACTTTTTACAAAAATAGACAATAAACAGTAATGTTTTTGTATTTAATTTAACTTGTAAGTTGAAAATCACCTGAATAGGATAAACGATGATGGGGGCCTCTTAGGCCTGTTTGGATCAGAGTTCTTATCTTCCTTATTTTGTTTCTTCTTCTGTCGATTTTGTTTTGTTTTCTGCATTATGATAGGGTGGATTAACATCAATAAGGTGAATTAACATCATGATAGGTATACAAAATAAAAAGGATACTGATTTAAATTGAAAGAAAAAAAAAATACCTTTATGATGTTGTCAGTTTTCTCCTTCTTCTTCAACATTTGCAAGGCTTCTTGTTTCTGTAGTTTCATATGCTCATCCTCCTCCTTCATGAGGTGGGCAGCCTCTTCATCTTTCTTCTGCTTGTAAGCCTCCATTTCTAGGGCATATTTTTCCTTGTTCTTCTTTGCCATCTGAAGGTTACAAGATAAATTATGGATAAGAAAATAATGTGCCTGAAATGACTCAAGAGACTAATATAATAATAATAATATTATTAATCAATCACACGAGTTGAAATATAAAACGAACATATACCTCTTCATAGGGTCTCTTTTGTTCCTCAGACATGTTTTTCCACTCTTCAGATGTGATCTTTGGAATCTGAATAAAAGAACCAGCAATTTATATGTTGTGTTTCTAAAAAGAATGTCATGTGAACAAGAAATTGTCAATTAGCACATGCAATTACCTCCAAGAAATTCTTGTTCCCGGCAAGAAGAGTTGGTCGCCTGTCGTTAGTGAACAAGAAATAAGCAGACATGGGGTGCTTAGGTTTCAATGGATCCTTCTCTTTCCTGTGAAGATGTAATACAGACATAAAAAATCATTCTAAGTTATGAAGAGAGGTAATTAATATTCTCACACGACATTGTATTTGTAATTTACTTATTCTTTTTGGTTTCTTTTTCTGCCTCCTGTTTGAATTGCATGTATTGTTCAAGCAATTCCATTGCAGTCCTCTGTTTCTGCTCCTCTTCAAATAACTTCATTGCCTCACTCTCCCGTTTTTCCTTTGTGATCACTAACAAATAAGCTTCCTTTTTAAGACGATATTTCTCCTCGTAAGGTTTTTTCTCCTCTGCAGTGAGAGTCTTCCACTTAGATCCTAATATGTTAGAAATTTCTTTAAATTCTGCCTCTGGGTTCGTTTTCTTAATCTGCACCAACCATCAAACCATCATTACATTAACAAATCATTGAATTTTACCAAAATTAACATGAGAAAGGAGACAAAAAGAACAAATAATTATTCCAAACAGTAATTTACCTCGTTCCATTGTTCTTTCATCCATAAAATGTAAGGAGGAGAAGGTCTTTTCTTATCAGAAGACTTCATTTTTTTATCTTTCTTTACTCCATTCTCTTTCAACACTGGTAAGTTCTACATAAAAATGAAAAGAAACACTCGCATAAGCAATTACAAACATAAGAAAATCATCACAAAGTCTTTGGAAAAAATTTATAATCACAACAAAATAAAAACATCCATATATAAAAGTTTAAAACTTACCATTGTAGGTTTAAACTCTTTCAATTTCTGCAATTTTTTCAGCTCAATTTGCATTTTCTCTTGTTCCCGACTAAGATTTTCGAGTTCTTCATCTTTCTGCTTAAGAACTTGGTCCTTAGCTTTCAAGAGTTCTTCTGTTTTTTCTTTTTCTAGGTGCATTTGTTGTAACATTTCTTGCATTTCCAGCAATTCTTTCTCAAAAGATTGCTGCTTCTTGGAATCTTTCATGGACGAGGGCGAGTTTGATGTGGCAGAGAGTTCAGAAACCTTCCCAGCAATGATGTTATTTTGATTTGCTGACGAAGTTTTCTCCTTAAGAGCCCTTCTACCCCTCCCCCTCTTTGTGGGAATTTCAACAAGTGTGTCAGCCATTGATCAAACAAAAGAAGAACAGATGAGAGGGTAAAAGAGTTGAGTCTGGAAAGTTAGTCTAAACAGTGCTGGTTTCATTCGTGGAGCAAAGGAGCGGCGTCTTATATAAGATAATTGGAGCAACGGTCAGAATTTTTAAAATTTGAAAGAAAGGGTGTCACTCGGGTTTCTCTTTTATGACGTGACCGGTGGTGGAACAGAGAGAATAACGGTAATTTTTTTTATCTTGTTTTGGGAAATTTTGAATTTGTGAAGATCAGCAGAATTCATAACCATTAACGGGTAATTTTGAACTGTTATGGTAAATAATAAAAAAAAAACGTATAAATGCAACTTGCATGATTGCCTAAAATGTTTGAAATGAATATATGTTATTGAAAAAAAAATATATTCTTTTGTACAGAAATTTACATTTGAATATGTAACCCGTTGTAACAAATAAAAAGAATTATATAACATGTTTAGATCTAAATGTCTAGTTGGTTGAATTAGTTAAAAAAATTATATAATGTAGTGGTGACTTTTGTTTTATATTTTTTATAAAATCAAGAGAAGTGGTGACTTTTGTTTAACTTTTTTTTTTTTTACTATGTAGAATGTAGAAGTAAGATATCCTCATTTAGAGAATAATTTAACATATTTATTGATATAATAAGAATAAGTAAGCACTCTTATAAATAATCCCTAGCATTTTTGTCTTATCCAACAACACAGAAAAAAGAGAGAATGAGAACAGATTTTTTCATGCCAATGCACTTCCATATCAAAATTAGCTGTAAACTAATATTTAGAGTCCTTTTTGCTACATTCAATATATTTTTGCCTCCAATCTCCATTATCCGTCTGTATGAATATGAATATCAAGAATCACAGTATAAAATTCACTCAATATTCACAACTGTATGGGGCATGTAACTGGTTTTCTTTTTCTTACCCCTTTGCAACCATCTCCATTATTATGTCATTCCAAGAATCTATTGGCCCAGGTAAGCACCAATGCAGACAATCATTCTGAACTTGAGCATTTTTATCCTTTGCAAATGGTTGAAATTGCCTGTATGGACCAGGATGCCCATCAGGTCTCAATTGTGAAAGTGCAGAAAAATCCACAAGCTTAAAGTTCACCCCATTTTTTGAAGCTTCAGAAACTGCCTTTCCAACCTCATCTAACTCTATGTCACGGAGCATCTGGTTCAGAAATTTCATTTCCATCTCCCCTTCTTTAATTGGTGCTGTTCTATTGCAAGTTCCCCCACTAAACCACTCCCCATTTTCAAAATGATCAGCTGTGAATGTCCTGAAAAATATCATCCCTTTGTGATTTGAAGACACTATGAAGTTCATTACAGCTTTCAAGGCTTTGCGAAATGCAAAGTTAAACCCCAGCTCTGTCAGGTTCCTATTAGGACAGGAGTGGCAGCCTAATATGGTGTCATTCTCATAGTAGATTGCAGATTTGAGAAACCATTTCCCAGTTGAAATAATGATGTAATCAAAGTCAAGGTACTGATCTGTCCATTTACTGTCCAGTTTGTCAAGATGTAGCTCAACTTCAGAACTCGAAACTCCATTTATATCTTCAAAAATAGCAGCTTTCACAAGGAAGGGCGACCAAATCACAGACATACTGAAGTTGTATGAGGGAAAGTTCCAGCTTTTGCACTTGTATTCCTCGTCATGATAGACTAAGACAGGTTGTTCCACCTGAAGGACAAAATAGTTAGTGTGAATCACTCCTCCTCTTCCAATAGGGCATAATAATTTCTAAAATACATTATGCTCAAAGTGATAAAGATTTTTTGGAGGCGACAGTTACATTTACAAGAAAATGAATGTTGTAGCATGGAATGGAGAAAGACATATTGACTTGATTGGTGGTGCACACCCTCACCTCATACTGGAAAGTGCTATTACATACATTTCATCAAAGTCTTCCGGGTTAAGATCATGCTGGCTTGTTATACTCGTGAAATGAATTTTACTTCTTAGTATGACATCAGACACTTAAAATTTGTCAAACTATGTGTAAATGTAATGTGTGCTTCTATTATGCCTAATTATAGACTAATAAGATTCATTACATAATTAAACATGCTTCAACTGATTGTTCAAACAGATGGTGGTAAAGTACATCATTCATAATGCAGTCAATCACTTAAGGAAGTGTTTTCTTTTTATTATGAGATGTATGCATACACCTAGTGTAGACACAAAATGGTGAGGAAACAAGGTTAAAAAATTACGAGATATCAGCCTCAGAACTAAATCTTAAGTCTTGAATTTAAATGAAAGCATAATTTTGAGTTAATAGAGCTAAAACTGAAGTCAGAAGGGACTTTCAGAAGTTATGACTTCAAGCCTGAAGTAGGATAGTTCAACTATAGGTGCATGGACTTCTTTACAAAATATAATAACTAGTTCCAGCTTGTTCATGCCACAAACTTATCACTTTGAGATGATAATTTCTCAACTTTTGTAAGCATTCTTTTTTCTTTTTGGCATCTTTTATGGCTATCTTTCAAAAACAAACATTCTTGCTAGAAACCCTATGAATAATCATTCCAATGGAAGTTCAAATAAAGTCTTGTAAACTAAAATGATGCTATTCTCAATGAATTCGCAGTACTAGAACAATGTTTTCAAATATTTGTGTACTATCCAAATCTCTGTGTCTCGGATCTATAAACCACTGCTAGATTCTGATGCAACATCAACAGAGCTAGGAAGTAAAAAAAAATATGATTTTACTTAATTCTCATGCACTAAATCATATGTTAATGCCTATAGATATATAACTACCAAGCACTTATGCCTATTCCATCATTTATTTACATAACCAAGTGGCAGCCAAACAACAGCTTTCTCAAACAAACAGCAAAACATTATTGATTTTATTTTTAAAAGGAAATAAACCCAATCTTCAAGGTTTGACATTGGAACCAGAAACAAGATCTGGTCCAACACATAGAAAAACTTAAACACAAAAGGCAGTAGTCCAATCCTCAATAGAAACATTCACAAACCGAGTAAAAGGGTAAACAACATTTGGACCTAATGATCAGCTTTTCATGTAAGTTAGCAGAACCACAATACATACCTTGGAGAGAAGGCAAAGCAGGGATTGCACATGGTTGCGGGAAATGGAATCACCAATGAATGCCCAGGCTTTGTTCCGCATCATGTTGAGAAACCTCTGTGGATCAAGCTGAGGCAAATCACACTGTCTAGGAGCCCACCTCCAATACAGAAACTCTCTATCAGGTCTTCCATTCTTCAAGCAATTTTGATGAGATTCAATAAGGTTGCAGCTTTCATTGGTGTAAGCTGGACCAGACGGGTTCCGGACCCAATCCCCATTAAAGTAATCACATTTCTCTACACTCAATAAAGTTCAAGTCAGAACCACACATTCACACACTACTACCCCACAATCCAACTAACTTAAGTGGAATTTAATATGGACAACAAAGTATTCTCTTGAAATATTTAGGGCAGATGCATATCGAGAGCTCAAACTCCATACCAAGTTAAAATAACCTATTCATGTTAGTTGACTCCAGCATTGAAGTGCTATTTTTTCATCCAACTAAACGTAATAACTACTCCAAAAGTTACATCTAGTTTCTAATTTGTAGAAATTAGACTCAAAGTACATAAAAAGTAAACTCATCTATGCAATGTAACGTAGATAAAAAAAAATCACGACAGGATAACAGAATTGCAGATCTAAACGCACGTGGTATATTTTTCTGTAAAAGGGGTCAAAAGAAAAGAACCCAACACTCACCTGATTCTGTGGGAGAGAATTGATCTTCAGTTTCGGAAACAAATTCGACAACAGGAGGGGGTTCGGGAACATGTTCCAGAACAGGTGGAGGTTCGGAAGCACGTTCCTGAACAGGTGGAGGTTCGGAAACAGATTGTGAAAGAGCTGAAGTGTGAGGTGGGTTGTGGGGTTGTGATAATGTGACTTTTTCAGGAAATGGGGATTCGAGAACAGGGGAAATCTGTGGGGAGAGGGAATGAAAGAAGAGAATGCGGAAAGCGAGGCCTAGGAAGAAAAGAGTGAGGAGCAACTTGAGGAAGAGGTTTCTGTGGGTGAAGGGAAAGTTCTGCTTCAAATAATCGGTCCTCATTTCGTGTTTGTTGGTGTTTTGGTTGGAGAAACAGTGATGACAGAGCATGGAACAGAGGACGAGTAGTGTTGATGAGAAATGAAAGTGAAGAAGAAGAAGAAGGGAAGGTGAAAGGCAAAGTGGAATAGCGGAATGGTTCCTAGATCCATGTTTATGACCGACTAGTTTTGACGACAAGACAAGATTCTCCACCTGTTATTTCGCACTTTTTAATTAACAATTTATCACCATTCTCGTTTAGCTTCACTTCTCTTCCCTCACAGGTGCATAAATACACAATTGATGAGGAGTTTTTTTTTTTTTTTTTTTTTTCACATGAGAGATCCTTATATTTATTATATTTTGAGAGATTCATCTCTTTCGTTACAATCAAATTCAGTTCATGAAAAACTAAGAAATTCTCAAATTTTAATGTGATTTTAACCCCTTCCCATCAAATGCTAATTTTTTGGCATGCCTTGTCACAAATATTTAAAAAAAAAGAGGAAATATTTTTTATATAAAAAATATATAAATTTAAATACATGAAGTAATCAAATTCTTAATAAGGGATGTAAATATATAGTTTTTATTTATTGTTTATTTGCATCCTCAAACAAATTGGGAACAGCTGTAAAGTATTAATTTATTGTTTTAATTATTAGATTTCGAAAACATGATTTCAGATGATGCCAAATCTTCTGTTATTTTCCTTTGGCATTGACAACTATACTTAAGTGTCTAAGTTTATGATATTGAATAAAATAAACATGATTCTTCATCTAGGGCATATATTTTAAATTTAAGCTCTACTTCTAGTTCAATTTTTTTATTCTACTTTGTCTTTTTAAAAAGTAGGTTTTCATAGTAATTTATTACTTATTTTATTTGCTTTTACAACAAAATAATCATTTGTAGTTTTAAATAAATAATGCTGAATTTTATCAAACCTTAACATTCTTCAATTCATTATTTTTATTAATTTTTGTTTTTTCATTTAAAGTCTCAAAATTTTTCTCTCAACTTTTTTTTCAAAATTTAAAGAAAAATTGTAGTTTCATGAAGCTGTCTGTTATTAAAATTTATTAAGTTACAAAATCACGAGTGATATTGATTAAATAAGGAGTAAGATCATATGGCTTTTGTAATACATAAAATTTACCATTTTTAACAAATTTTAATTATTAGTAAAAAGTATAATATATCACGACAAAGAGACTATGCCATTTTTATTTCTAGTTATTAACACTTCTTTTTCTCCTTTAAAAATTTCAAGTATTTTTTTTTAATTATTTATTCATCCGTTGTTTTTTTGAGTTAGAAAAGGGTAAACTTTTTTGACAGAGGAAGTTATTTATTTCTCAATTATTAATTATTTGAAGTCATAGAAGAGAATCGAAAATTTTAATCATTGAAATAACATAAAAAAAATATATAATCTTTACTCATTTATCATTATTGTTATTATGGTAACAACTTCACAAAGGGACAACAATTTATGACGTTAATACTGACTTTAATTTTTTTTCTTATAATATCAATCATTGTTTCATTAATTAATTGTCTTTCCATAATACAATTATACAATACAAGTTTTTTCATTTCAGGTTCATTTTTTTCGTGAGTTTGATATCTTCTTATAGTAAACTTTATACAACATGATTTGAATGTATGCATTTTTCTTCTGGCCTTTTTTGTTTAATGAATTTTGGAGTTTCAAAAAGAACTCAACAATTTTTCTTAAAAAGTTGATGAAAAAAAGAGTTTGTTTCCTTAATTTTGTTAAGACAATTATAGAATTTTTTTTGTTAAACTTTCTTGTATTATCGTGTAAATTTTGTTTTGTATAAAAAACACACACACACTGTTTCTATTATTTTTTTTAGAAAATGTAGTTATTTTTTATTCAGTAGTAAAAGGATATTTTTAAAATGAAAATGTTATCAAAAATTATTTTACCAAGATGATCATATATTTTTATTTTTTTACCCAAAAATAATTATTATTAAAATAAGTCATAGTATATTTTGTTGATGTAAGAAAAATCAATAATTTATTTAGATATATATTTTAAAATGGACCATAATTTTTTTAAAATTTTAAAAATTATTAATATATTTATAAAAAATAATTAATAAAAAAATAAAAAATAAATTATATTAATAAAATTAACTTTTATTTAAAATATAATAATTTAATATATAAATTATAAGATAATGTATATATTCAATTTTTTGAAATTTATTTTATTATCATTATTTATGTTTTTAGTAATTAATTAATGTTAAATATTATATTTTAAAATAAATGATGGTTAAAGATTTATTATAATATTTACTTTTATAATAAATAAATATATTATTAAATTAATTTATAATATATATATATATATATATATATATATATAAATTAATATTATTTTTTATTCTATAAAATAAATTCACCTATAAAAATATGAATTAGGATATAAGTTTATATAAGTCATAACTTAAATGAATTACATCAAATTAGATATAATTTAATGTAAATTACCAAATTTTTTATTTAATTTAATTTTTTTCATATTTCACATATTAACCCTATTTTAATACCCTATTTTATATATTTTATTTAATTATATATTTTGATTTATCTATTTCATTACACAAATAATTTTGGTTCTCATAGTTTTTAATGGTTTAATTTTGATCCAGACATTTAAAAAATAAATAATTTTAGTTCTTATAATTTAATATATGACCGTTTCGGTAATTCCAAACCCTTTTTTTACGGTTACGCCACTTAGTATCAATATAATTAATTACAAGTGAGATTAATAATTTATAATATTCACAATTCAATAATATAAGAAAAAGGGTTTTTTAATTGACTTTGAAAAAATATTTTTAAAAAAAAAAAAAAAATTGTAACAAATTGTGTGTTATTTTTTTCTTTCATAATCCCGTTGCAGTCTAATAAATGACTAATTAATGGCTAATAAATAATACGCCAAGTATCTCACACTCTCTTCTCTCTCTTCTCTTGCCATCATCATGCATCATTTCCAACGTCTAAACCATGTGTCGGTAGGAATTTAATCATTTAGTTTTAATTATTAAAGATTATATGTTTTACCATATATCAATGAAATGTTACTGTGTAAAATAAACATTTGTAGACATGAATTATAAGATTAATTACTTTAAATGATTAGATAGAAAAAGTGAAGTTATTATATTTAAAATAAAACTATACTGGGCTTTAATTTGAATTCAAATAAATCATTTTCGACAAATCAATTGCTAATTCGAATGGTAGTGATCTCGATTTTTTTTTTAAGCGAAATCTTATATTCAATATCCGTACATGTTAAAAAATTATATAATTAAAAGTTATGAATATCTTAGTAAAGATCAATCAAATTTTTAACTGATATGAATTATAGTAACATATAATTCACGATAAAAATCTTCTTTTGATGGAAAAATGTTTTATAAACACTAATATAATTTGGGTGGAAAAATAAGTTTAACTTAATTAATCAATTCAAAATATCTAAAAAAATAGGTTAAGTTAGACAACAAAATTTAATGCCTAAATAGAATCAGACAAATTTTAATGTGAACTATTTAGATCATATTAACTCGTAAACTTATATGTATAATAAATTAATTTAATAATATATTTTGTTATATATATATATATATATATATATATATATATAATAGAAAGAATAATAAACTTTAAATATGATGTTCATTTGTTTTTGTCATTTCTTTCCTCTTTATATATATATATATATATAATAGAAATAATAATAAACTCTAAACATGATGTTCATTTGTTTTGATCATTTATTTCCTCTCTATTGTTGTCGTCACATTTATTTTTAAGGATCAATAGTTTAAGATGACATATTCTTAAATGCAACGTATTTTTAAGGATCATAATGTGTGAGTTATATTGGATGACTAATTTATTGAATTAATGAAAATTTGACTTGAAAATTTACACACATTCACTTTCTAGATGTATTATTAAACATAATCTTCAATTTAGCTATGTTGAGCAAGGTTATCATACTCGAGAGTCTATGTAGACTCATGAGAGATCGATAAACTCGACTTGTAAACTCGACTCGACTCGTAGACTCAACTCATAGAATCGACTCGTAGACTCAACTCATAGACTCGACTTGTAGTCTCGTAAGAATTTACTTCATATGAAAAATATTAATTTAATAATAAATATAATAATAATAATTCCTCATTATTAATACAAAAATTAATTGAATTTGTACAACAATATAATCAAAATTAAAAAAAATAATAATCTTGAATATCTAAAATCTCTCAATCTATTTGAAATCTTAAAATCTCAAATCCTTTAATCTCTCGATCTAACTTGCTCCATCTATTCGAAAACCTTAAAATCTGAAATCTCTTAATTCTCAATCTAACCTAAAGGGCGGTGAGCAGCAGCGAACAACTGCAAGGAACACGACCACTGATCGATGTCGTACTCGGTCAAATAATTAAAACAAATAAATGTAGTACTAGGAAGCTTTCCTAGGTCGTCTCCTAAAGACCACAAATTTCTATCAAAGTTTATCAATTTTTAGTAACAAAAAAAATTAAAAGGGAGTTTTTCAAAATTAAAATATTAGATGAAACAAAACAAAAACAGATTATAAAAATGCGAATTAAAAACAGATTAAAATGCAATTGATTTTCTGATTCTAATGCAGCGTCACTTATCCTAGATTACGAAATTAATTCGAAATTAACCGACTAAGCGAAGATAAATCCCAAATTATATTCTAATCCAAAATTAATCAACTAAGCGAAGATTAATCTCAAATTAGCTTTAACCCTTTGTTCCAATATGAAATTAACCAACTAAGCGAAGATTAATCCCAAATTTTCCTTAACCCTTATTCCAACATGAAATTAACCAACTAAGCGAAGATTAACCTCAAATTATCCTTATACAATTAAGCATTGCATACATCACATAATCTCATATCTAACACAGTAATTAAG